CGCATCAAAACCGAAAATCGCATTTTCCCATTAAAACTAAGATATTTTGTTTTCCCGTCAAAATTAATTTTTTTTGTTTTCTCACCAAAACCAAAAATTCACATTTTCCCGTCAAACCTGAGAATTTGCTTTTTCTGCCATAACCGATAAATTACGTTTTGCTACCAAAACTGAAAATCATATTTTCTTACTGAAATCAAGAAATCCCCTACTCCCGACAAAACACAGCAATTTCTTATACCCGCCAAAGCCAAGAAAATTTGTTTTCTCGTCGATGCATGGTTGATGTTGAGCCTACATTTTTTTCAATCATATACGTCTCTGTCAAACAAACAGATAGCTAGAAATTTTTTATTATTATTCATTTGTTGTTATTTATTATTTGGATTTGACAAAAAATAAAACAAAAATTCAATTTTTTATTTGTTGTTATTTATTATTTGGGCTTGAGTTTGGTAAATGTTAAAATAAAGATTTTTTTTATTTGCTGTTATTAATTATTTGGGTTTGTGTTTGGTAAAAAATAAAATAAATATTAATAGAAAAAGTATTTGGATTTTTAAAGGGTTTAAATTTAAAATTTAAAAATAAGTAGATGAGTTGTATTAATAAAATGTTTTGATTGGTGATTATTTTTGCTGATGTGTCATGTTTATAAAGCTTCAAAAAGCTGATGTGTCAAGCTATGTAGAGACATTAGTGTTATTGTTGTGTTGATTCTCTCTCCTATTTTCATTAATATACTAGGTATATAACTCGCGCTACGCACAAGTCTGTATTAATATTTAGTTTAATTTTTTTAGTTAATATCTTTAAAATTATTAAAAATATAATATATTTATAGAAATTTCTATTTATATAAGAGAAATTAATATATAATGTTTAATTTATCCTATTTATATTTATGAATTTTTAAAAACTATTAAGTAAAATAATAACAATGACATCTATCAAATTATCCAACTTTAACATACATATACATTTGATTTAGAGAAATATAATCTTGCTAAGATTTTGGTATTATTTTTTGTTTTTATAGAATTTCTATAGTTCTTTTTTTCTTAAAGGTTTATGTGTTCAAATATTTAGTTTTTTATTGAAAGTCTTATTGATGTTGTGTACCACTGCATATATAATCAATGATTCATGTTGATTAATTTTGTTAGGAAGCTGTAATGATCATGCAAAACCATTTTTTCCTTCTCCATCATGTCTTTCAAGAGTTTTATGTTATATTTTTATTCAGTTTTTATTATTTTAATTGTTAAATCGAGTTGTTATAGATTTTTTTAAATTGATAATGGTTACTTTTTAAAACATGTATTGATAATTGTTAATTTTTTTATTTAACTTTTAAAATTTTAAACCATATTTACATTTTATGATTTAATAAATATGTTGATTTTGATCAATCAGATTGAATTTACTTTTTTCGTTGGACATAATTTGTTAAATTAACTTTTAATGTTTTAATTATACTTAATAATTTTGGTTTGATTAAAAAGTTGATGTGGACCAATTAAATCAAGTTTTTCCATCTTAATCATAACATTATTTATTTAATGAATATGCTGATATGGACCAATCAGATCAAGTTTTTAATCTCATGTGGACGCTCTCAATGCACTATGCCTTCATCTTTTATATATTATATGATTAGAAAAGAATGTTCTTTTGTATGTGAACAATGGGTAAAACGGAACTTTTAATGATTTTCTTAATTTGTGTGAAAAGTGTCAAAATGACATTTATTTTGAAACAAAAAGGAATATCAAATATATATGTTTCGGATTGTAAAAATAATATTGATAATTTAAAAATGTTGTGATAATAAGATTCTTTATGTAAAAAGTTAATTGAAGAATACATTTACGTCAAATTTCTTGTACAACTTAATTTATTTCAAATTGTATATGAAATATGATATTTTTTCTATGTTATTTTACAATCCAAATCGTATATATTTGATTTGACGTTGGTCATTTTGGTTATCTATAACAATAGATAAAATGAGTTTTTTCCATTAATTTGATAATTGAAGGGTTTATATTTGATTCAAATTACTCAAGAGGTTTTTCATTAAAATTATATAAAAATTTGCAGAACACATATTGTTGTTTACAAATTACTTAGAGTTTTAAATGCATATTCAATTGTCTATTAACGTCCAAAACCTTTGCTTCTTCCCTATATCTCTACCAAATCTCGGGAAAAGACAAAATCTTACTGTATACTCATTTAACTTGATTAAAATCTTAAGCATGTGCAAGATGTTAAACAACAATTCACTTCATAATTGCACTAAGAAAGATTCGGTTTATCGAGTAATTTACTTATATAAATTCAAACCTAATCACCGATAATGAACGTTCCTTCTTCCTTATTCGTATCTCTCTGCCTCTCTCTTTTTTCACTTCACCATTTGGAGAATCTGAAAAGCTCTGCCAAGAATCCTCATGGCCAAGAAGCAAACCAACCCTGTGGAACAACCACCAAGCGAAGAGAAGGAGCACGTTTCAATGGAAGAAGAAGAATCTGAAGGCGAGCAAGATGAACCCATCAAAACTCCATCATCTTCTCCCACCATTCCAGCCGCCGGCAAGAAAGACTCCGGTTCAAATTCCGTATCGGAGATTGAAACAAAGAAGGTAGCTTCGGTCTTAAAGTCGAAGAACAAGAAGAAGAAAAAGAAGAAGGAGACTCGTTCTTTTGCTGCTGTTGTAGCTTCACTAAAGAAGAAGAAAAAAGCGCGGTCAATTGAAGAAGGAAGTTCAAGAGACGTAAACGCAAAATGTCTCAAGACGGAAGAGGAAAAGACGTTCTTCAAGAGAGTGTGGAGTGAAGGAGATGAGATTGTCTTGCTTCAAGCAATAATAGATTTGGGGACGGAACCTTTTAAGGATAAGATTAGGTTTGAAGAATCGGTCAAGTCATCCATTAGCATCGAGTTCACAAATCCTCAATTGATGCAGAAGATACGTCGTCTGAAATACAAATTTCAGGATAAAGAGAAGAAGGAAGTTGTGACTTTCTTGAATCCTCATGATCGTAAATGTTTTGAAATGTCCAAAGAAATTTGGGGATCTAACATGGAAAAAGACGAGGAAGAAGAAGATAGTAAGAATGTTGTGTTGGTTAATGGTGAAGACGATTGGTTTGATAAATCGTTTATTGTAGGGAAAGTTGCGAGTTTTGGTGTGGGAGAAGAATCGGTGAAACAAGGATGGAGATTGGTTCCTATGGAGAGAAAAATGAAGATTCAAGAGAAGATGAGATTGTTGGAGACTGAAGGAGTCAGGTTGGCGTTGGGAAAGATGGATCTAGTGCATGAAGTTGCCTCTGCTATTGCGGAAGCAACACGTTAGGGATTAGTTTTGCAGGTTTTATGCCTCTTTTGATTTTTAATCTTTGCGATTCTTGGTTTCGGGTAAAACTTCTATCGGATATTTTTTTTCCTTTGGTTAACTTTTTGGTTATTTCGAATTAGAGTATTGAATGACAACCAAAACGTTCACAAAACCAGTGCACCAAACAATTAAAGAGATTCATTTAGATTCACTAAGTCTATAACTCGGCGCGAGTTTGTATTAATATTTTGGTTTATTTATTTTTAGCTATTATCTTTAAAATTATTAAAAATTATATATATATTTATAGTAATTTTTATTTTAATAAGAGAATTTAATATATAATGTGTAATTTATCCTATTTTATTTATAAATTTTAAAAAACTATTAGGTAAAATAATAACAATGACACCTATCGAATTATCCAACTTTGACGTACATATACATTTGATTTAGAGAAAGTTTTATGTTATATTTTTATTCAGTTTTCATTGTTTTAATTGTTTTATCGAGTTATTGTAAATTTTTTAAATTGATAATTGATAATGGTTACTTTTTTATACATGTATTGTTAATTGTTAATTTTTTATTTAACTTTTAAAATTTTAAACCATATTAACATTTATAATATATTTATAGAAATTTCTATTTATATAAGAGAATTTAATATATAATGTGTAATTTATCCTATTTTTATTTATAAATTTTTAAAAAACTATTAAGTAAAATAATAACAATGACATCTATCGAATTATCCAACTTTGACGTCCATATACATTTGATTTAGAGAAATATAATATTGCTAAGATTTTGATATTATTTTTTGTTTTTATAGAACTTCTATAGTTCTTTTTTTCTTGAAGGTTTATGTATTCAAATATTTAGTTTTTTATTGAAAGTCTTATTGATGTTGTGTACCACTGCATATATAATCTATGGTTCATGTTGATTCGCATTTAATTTTGTTAGGAAGCTGTAATGATCATACAAAACCATTTTTTCCTTCTCCATCATGTCTTTCAAGAGTTTTATGTTATATTTTTATTCAGTTTCCATTATTTTAATTGTTAAATCGAGTTGTTATAGATTTTTTTTAAATTGATAATGGTTACTTTTTAAAACATGTATTGTTAATTGTTAATTTTTTTATTTAACTTTGAAAATTTTAAACTATATTTACATTTTCTGATTTAATAAATATGTTGATTTGGATCAATCAGATTGAATTTATTTTTTGTATTGGACATTATTTGTTACATTAACTTTTAATATTTTAATCATACTTAATAATTTTTGGTTTAATTAAAAGGTTGATGTAGACCAATTAAATCAAAGTTTTCCATCTTAATCATACTTAACATTTTTTTATTTAATAAATATGCTGATATGGACCAATCAGATCAAGTTTTTTAATTTTATGTGGATGTTTTCAATACACTATACCTTCAACTTTTATATATTATATAATGATTACTTTTTGTTATTAAGATATTATATTGAGAACCTCCCATTGGAGGTGCTCTTTAGATCTTGCTTCAACAACTATTGATGTTTGACTGAGTCAACAATTTTTATCTTCTTTGTATTTGTATTTGCTCATATTAAATAATAAATACTAATTTTGTAATTTTCCTTCTCTTTTGCCTTTTTTCCATACAATGAGGAGACAAAATGTGTTTCTGCTTTCTTAGCGGTAATTTTTGGTAGAAAACAATGGTTTCAGGTTAAGATGATTACAAGTTTCTAATATTTGGAATTGAAAACAATGGTCGCTTCTTTATTTTGTAGATAAACATTTATAGAAGAGGTGGTAACGGATTCATTAGCTTTTGATTTAGTAGTTAACGAGGCTTAATATATATATATATGCAGATCAGGTGTTCGGCTATATGTCTGAATGAGGCTTATTTGCAATGACGCTTTTATGAGGACCCTTTTATAAACTCAAAAAGACTACAAATGTTTTTTGGGAAGTATTATATTCCAAATTTCTACTGATTTCTTGTTATGATGATAGTTTTCGATTTCAGGAGATTTTAGATGATCCAAAACGAAGAAAATCTACACTTAGGCTCCATTTGTGTCTGTTCTTCTTCTGTTTAGCTGGGTTACAAATGGCCACAGAGGTGAAAATGGCATCTCTCATGCTTTTTCCTTCGGTTTTTGTGCCCTTTCGTTGCTATATTTAATGTGTTTAATCATTTTTCTTCAGAAAATGATCAATTGAATAATAAGCAGTGATCAAGTTGCATTTGGCTTTCACTTTTCACAGGTCATTTCTGAAAATCTCGGTAAGAAAGATGTGTGCTTGTTGAGAAACCATCTCCGTAAGAAAGATGTGTGCTCAGATTTAGACAGTTGGTGGATGTATCCAATTGAGAAAACACCGAAGATGATGAGCCAGTCCCAAGAATCCAACCAAGAGAACTCAGTGATTTTGACATGACACTGAGTATGTTTGGAGGTGAATATCAAAACTGATCCAGAAGATTTTAACATGACGCTGGAGAAGTTTCGGAAACAATGCAAAGAAAAGAAAAGGAAACTCAGAAGCCACGGAGATACTGAAACCATGCACCTCACAAGTTAAAGTTAAGCAAGAGGGCTTGATTCTTCAAACTGAAGATGAAGGATGTGATCTTGATGAGCCTCTTGGCAGTTGGAATACGAAGTTCTCCAAGAGAAGAAAGAAAAAGCAAATCGTGATTCTACTTCCTCTCCATCTGCTGAACAAGCTGATTTGCCTGCGCTCCATCATGTCAAGCCTGGCTTCCTGGGATGATAGCTATTCAGTTCATGAACCCATAGTTTTCATTCCCACTGATCCTTTACTAGATTCTATCAGAGAGCCAGAATTTACTACAAATACAGAGTTGGTGGAAGAGATTATGCATGATTCGTCCAAGGACAGAACATTGCCTCCATACTGCAGTGCAGAGCCAAATTCTCCCGGAATGGTAGCCATTGAAGTGCCCGTAACTACGATGATGCATCAGAAGAATTCAATTGCCTTGCTGATAGTATTGATCTTGAAAATCAGGCAAATGTTTTGCACAGTAGTGTGTCCAGAGAGTAGATTGAACTGGAGGCTCCACAAAGTTTAGAATCTGAGACCATTGGTTGTGTCAAGATCCTCGCTTCGTCTAATACAAGCTCGGAGAGTGAAGAAGTTAAAGAGGACGAGGAAAGCGATGATGCAAAGCCTTGCTTAGACAAGACCATAACTGGTATGGAGATTGTGAAGATAGAAGCTTTAGAAGTACTCTCTAACTCAGACATGACCATGACTGGTTTGGAGATTGTGAAGATAGAAGCTCCAGAGATACTTTCTAACTTAGACATGGCAATAACTGGTCTGTAGAATTTGAAGATAGAAGCTCCAGAGAAAAGTTGCTACTGATTACTCAGGTTTACTCGCCATGGAGAATACCGAGATTGTGTGTGGAGATGAAGACATTGCTAAGGATGAGCTTCCTGATGCAGCTGATACTCTCCAGCTGACCAGCTGCTGCAATTCACTGGATCCTGTTACTGACGACGGCACAATTTCATTTGAAGAAGGTCATAGGCCAGAAAAATTACAACAATCTTCATCCTCAGAGAACAGGAGACCAGTCAATCACAAATCTTTCAGGCACCTGAAGAGGTTAAAACAGCTGAAGAGACTGACAGTGTCGAGCAACAAGAGCTACACTCTCAACCTGAAAAACTACTCTCAGGTTGTTGATATGACTAAAGATTGTATCAACGGAATCATTCTCGTGGACAACAAGAGATCAGGTATTGTTGTCAGACTACTTTCATGGAAACCTTCTCCTGCTAAGAGTCTTTTTAGACCCTCTATGCCATATTTAGAAAGAAGCATTCATCAAAATTCAAAACTTAAGACCACCTGAACCATTAAGCATTGAATCTGATTTTCTTATTTATATTTAGAAAGAAGCATTCATGAACTTGAGGCTACCTGATTTACGCATTGGATCAAGTTGTATTTTGAGATTTAACAAGGGAACTGAAGTTAGTGGAAACGATAATATGTATATTTGTTCAAACAATGAAACAAAGTGTTACAAAATTTGCAGAGTGTTACATTCAAGTCTACAAGAAACTTAATCGCTACATAAACATAAAAAAAAATTGAGAATCTATATTGCTAGGTCATGATCATCATCATGTCTGATTGAGCCATCATCATCGTCTTAATTCGATTCTCTTCCCTAAATCTAGCTTTCTTTTTGATTTGTTGAACTTCCATCTGAATCTTGTTGCTCGCCATCTCTTCTCTTTTCATCGTCACCAAACTCTCTCCGTTGATCTCACCAATTAGCACTTTTCTCCTCAAATCAGGGTTGTTGCTGTCGCCCATGTTGAACAGAATCAATCAGTACTTTAGTTTCTGAGTCCCTTCGAAACATTCCAATTTCTCAAACATGGCAGATTCAACGGAAACAGTCACGGCGTAAGGATCGCAAGAAGCAACTCGTTTCTTCATCTCCGTCTCGACAACCTCGGAAGCGACTCTAGACAAGGATTTTTGCAGAATCTCACGCACTTTGTCTCTCTTAGAATCTCCTGACGAAATCTCCATCTTCACAGGCTTCTTCACCACCAGTCGGTTTTGATCGTATTCACGCCGGCTATGTTTCCTGCCGGTGACGTAGAGATACGACAGCCAGAGAGAGTAAAGAAGCTTTGCCTCCGATCGGATTTTAGGGTTTATGTGCTCCATGAAAACTTTGTGACTCAGTCCAATGAAGGAGGTTTTGATGACGAGGTCACAAGCAAGAGATTCGGGAGCTTTTTTCAAACGATTCATGGCGTCGACACACCTCGAGACCTCTGGAGAATTCTCGACTCCTTTCGCGAATTTAGCGGCTCGAGTTGATTTTTTAAACAGTTCCAAGAACTCATGCTTCTGCATCTTTCTCGTTCGATCTTTTGTGTGTGTTTGCTCTCTCGATTTTCTAGCGACTAAAAGTTAGGGTTTCGGAAGCAACGAAAGAAAATTGGGAATTGTTACAGAGTGTGGTGTGTGTGAGCGGTAGTGTTGATATATAAAGAGGAAGCGTGGAACTCAAACACCAAAAACTGATAGGTTTTTGTTCTGTTTCGATACTTTTTGGTATCCGAGCTTCCCCGAACTTTTTTTTTTCTTTATAACCGTTAACAGGATTTTCTATTTTTTACAGTAGACTTCTCTCTACCAATAGCAGTAAATTTATATTTAATATTAATATCTGGAGATAATAAGATATATTTTCAAACTCATTGCCCGCATAGTTATTTTTTCATAATATATGTGTTATTATTTTTCCAAAAATAAAAAATAGATAAGATTATTTAAATCTATTAAAAGATGATATTCTAAACACAGGTATCACAATCCATGCATTTTGTTAATACTCTTTTGAATTATCAAGAGAAAATCTGTTTACTGAGAAAAATGCTCCAAAAAGAAAAATGATCGTTTTTCCTCCAAAACCTGAAGCAAGTCATGGTACAGAGTGAATGAAACCCAAGTGAGGCTGAAACAAAGAACAAGTTTTAGAGAGGAGGCGTACACGTGGCTAAATGGGGACTAATTGTTATGGAAACAAGAGTTAAGCTACAAGTAATGTCATGCTATATACGTATGCTTTCCACAACCGTAAATCATACCGGAAAATATCATAAAGAACAATCTGGCTATGTCAATCTGGAACATTGTCAATGATTTCGTCCTTCTTGTCATCTTGTGGAAACAAAAACATTTAAGGAACAGAGAACTTATGACAGTGATAAAAAAAGACAGCTTTTGATGATGAAGCACCGATTTGATATCTTTACTTCGTTGTTGCACCACAAGGCAATGGTTTTAGGTCCTCTTTGTTTCTTTATCAAGATGACTAATCTAACATATATTAAACAGGAAGCATTAGTGACTTGTGTGTCATTATCTCAAAATTTTGAATTTTTTAAATCTCAATAATAGTTAAAAGCTTAAATAATTTATTCTTGCAACCAAACACAATCTTTTTTTGCAACCAAACAAAAATTTCTCTAATTATTTATTTTTAATTGCATTTAATGTTTTAAAAATTTGCAATTAATATTTAGTTTTTTTGTATATAATTTAAACAATTCGATTTAAGTAAATATAACAGAAAATTTAAGTGAATCTTTGTTTTTTTTTAAAGTATCTAATCTAATATATATTAAACATGAAAAATTAGCTTAGGTATCATTATCTCCTTTTTTCTAATATTTTTATTAATTTATTTTTGTGTGATATCCTTATTACCAAAAACTTTATTTTAAATTACTTAAACTAAATCAAATTTAAATCGGACCAATCATAAATAATTCGATAATTTTATTAGTTTCATAAATAAAATTAGTTACCTGTATTATTACTGGAAATAAAAATTATTTCTATGTTTTAGATTGTTAGTATTTAATGTTTTACAACAGCTTTGATTCACATATTATACAAAAGGAAAAATATTATTTTTTAAAATTTCGGACAAAAATAAATGTAAATCTTGCTTTGTATAAGTTTAAATTAAAAATAAAAATAACTAAATTTTCTCAAATCTAGACTGAACATTTTTAGATACCCAAATATATTTTAAAACTTAATAAATTATTGAATATCTCTTAAATATTTTTACAACCATTACCCTGCACGAATATGCGGGTAGTAACCTAGTTTGAATGAAGAGGAGAAATTTGTTTGTATTGTAACATAATCAAAGAAACATTCAGATGAGTCATCTGGATGATTTTCTAAAATTTAGACAAATTTATGAGAATTATCTCGATGAACCAAATTAGATCATTTGGATGAAGATGATTCAGTCCAAAACAATAAATAACTAAATTACTTTTGAAGTTTTTTGTAAAAAAATCTAAAATATATTAAATCACATTTTTCCTAAAAAATTGACAAAATCATAAAAACATATTTTTCAATAAAATCACAAAATTGTGTTTTTCTAGCAAAACTTAAAAAAATTGTATTTTTTCCCAAACTTGTAAAATCATGTTTTTCCAGTAAAATAGAGAAATTGTGTTTTCTCACAACAACTAAGGCTTTAACTGGTGACTAATAAAAAAGGAATATGAATGAAAAGGAAAAGAATGAAAGAAACAAAAGAAAAAAAATGAATATGAATGAAAAATAAATAAATATATTTTGTTCCTCCCTAATTTTAATAAAAAATACGTTTGTTCTATAATTCCTTATATGATAAGAAATAAGAAGAAATATTTACCTTCAGAGGCACTTTTATTGAAACTCATTACAATTTATGCACTTTTTGAAACCCACACACTTCTATGAGACAATTTGTCATTTATACCCTTACAATTATCTTCTTCACTTTTACCTTAATTCACCAGCTCTCGACTATTCGATTCATCAACGCCTTCCTCTTTTTTTTCATAACCATCCTACCACACTTTACAATTCACAGATCTACGTCTTCTTCCTCAGATCCTTGCGATTCACTCCACCGTCGATTTCTCCTGCGATTCACAAATCCGCGTCTTCTTTCTCTCCACCGTCGATTTCCCCTGCGATTCATAGATCCGCGTCTTCTTCCTTAAATTGCTCAATTGTCCATTCAAGCTCACCAAATCTAGCCTTTGCGTTACCAATACCTCTCACAGTTTGGCCCAATGTTATTCATCGATTAGGATCCGAATTCTCTCCGTTTCCTCTGCCTTGGATGATAAATGGTGGCGGTAACGAGCCCTCCATGAAGAGCTCGCGAGTTTAATGGCGAAGAAGATTAAGAAAAACGACAATGCGGAGGCGGCTGCGGCTGCATTGCCTCCTAGGGTTTTCGTGAAGGGAAGGTACACTGTAGGTAAGGGAGCGTGGACAAGGAACCGTGGACAAGGGAGTGTGGACACGACAAAGAGAAACTTACTTATAAGAACCATGGACAAAGAACTATGGTCAATATAACCATAGACAAGAGCCGTGGACAATATATCCGTGGATTCCGAAATGTGGGCAAGAGAGCGTGGAGAAGACAAAGAAAAGCTTACTTGTTCATGAAGTTTTCTCTTTGCAGCATAAGGACTAATTGATGCTCTTCAGACCTCAGATTACTCCATCGGAACTTATCCACAAAAAAAACTCTAACTCAATACTGTCACATATCAAAACATAAATCGTGGACAAGGAACCGTAGTGGACATAATGAAAATCGTATATTGTTGACCACTCAAAGTTGACCACACACTATCAATCACGCAATATTTTGACCACACAACATTAACCATTTATTGTTGACAATTTGTACATTGCCGGCATCGTTTCTTCATCATCTTCTTCGCTACATACACAATACACATCTGGTTCTGGATCGAAAATCTCAGATCTAATCTATGTTCTTAATAATTATTCATCCTCAAACTTCTACAACCAAGTTAAATCAGGTTACCAACACGAACATCAAAATTCTCCAAATACAAATCTGAATCTTTCTACTAATTCTCAAATTGGACAAAGAAAGCCTCTGCAAGCTCCTAACTACTCCGATTTCAACACAACGGAAGCCTCTGCAAGCTCGTAAATATTTGCAAAGTCACTCTTGATTCCAACACAACTACACTAAATCAAGGGCATCTGGGCGGCGACCGAGAACGACAACATCAATTGTCTCGTAACGTTTTCACCATGTGGTCCCAGGTGAAAAATTAACAGTTACCATTAACTTTCACCACAACGCTTCAGCTTAAATGAAGGGCAAAACCAAGTTTTCCACTCACAGAAACATAAGGAAAGTGCTCCATATTCAGAAAGTGCCTATATTAGTTAACAAAGTAGTAGAAGTGCCTTTCCGCGTAAATCACTCGAATAAGAAGGAATGATAGGGAAATATTATTACTAGCAAATGGTAAAAAAATTTAGAAATGAATAGGAATTCATTATTTCCCCCTCATTCCTTTGGTCACCAGTTGAAGTCTAAGTGTGAAT